CTATCCACCCTCCACCCACCCATCCATCTATCCATCCATCCATCCATCCATCCACCCTCCACCCACCCATCCATCCATCCACTCTCCACCCACCCATCCATCTATCCAGCCTCCACCCACCCATCCATCTATCCATCCATCCATCCACCCTCCACCCACCCATCCATCTATCCGTCCATCCATCCACCCATCCATCTATCCACCCTCTACCCACCCATCCATCTATCCATCCATCCATCCATCCATCCATCCATCCAACCATTCATCCATCTAACCATCCACTCACCCATCCAACCATCCATTCACCCACTCATCCACCCACCCACCCATCCATCCATCTGTCCACCCATCCCCCATCCAACCTCCACCCACCCATCCATCTACCCATATATCCATCTATCCACCCAACCATCCATCCATCTATTCATCCATCCCCCACCTCCCTACCCATCCATCCACCCTTCACCCACCCACCCATCTACCCATCCATCCACCCATCCATCCATCCACCCGCTCAGCCATCCACACACCCTCACACTTCCTGAGCCCCTCTATGCCAGGGCCGCAGTCTCTGTGCCAGTAAGCACACTAGGCTGAGCCTCCCCTCATGGAGCTGAGACCTGGCAGAGGACAGGGTTCCAAGAGACCGATCGTGCAGGAAGGTCTGACGCATGTCAGGGAACGGTCATTGCGTGAGGTCCGCAAGCCTGGGTCCTGCCCTGGGTCAAGGAGCCCTTCCAGCAGCAAGATTCCCTTCCATTCCCTCCAAAGGCTGAAAGTGTGAAAATCTGACATTACCAAGTGTTGGGGAGGAAGTAGAATGATTCTTGTACCCTGCTGGTGGGGATATAAATTGCAACAATCAGTGTGGCAAATTCTTTAGCCTTATCTTTTTTCTTTTTTTGAGGTACTGAGATTGAACCTAGGGACTCTCTACCACTGACCTACATCCCCAGTTTTTTTATTCTTTTAAATTTTGAAATGGTGTCTAAGTTGTCCATACAGGCCTCAAACTTGCAATCCTCCTGCCTCAGCCTTCTGAGTTTGACCTTCTCTGAAGAGATACAAGAGTATAAAGACTCTTGTGTTAGGAACTCACATAGGGACACAGGGACAGGAAATGCTCCCCACTGACCTATTTATAGCAGTAGGTAGGAGGGAGACATGAGCAAGTACAAGGTGTTATCTTCACACCACGGACTAGTACACTGTCCTGAAAAATGAATGAGCCAGAACTTTACATGTCAGAGTGAATGAACACCCTAATTATGACAGTCAGTAAGGAAGGTAAGTGGTAGAGAAACAGCTACATGATTGTGACATGACAGAAGTCTCCCTTATCTGAAGTTTTGCTTTTAGTTCCCTAAGGTCAACCAAGATCTGAAAATATGAAATAGAAAATTCCAGGAATAAACAGTTCATAACTCTCTTTTTTTTTTTGGTACTGGGAATCAAACTCAGGACCTTGTGCTTGCCAGGCAGATGCTGTGCCACTGAGCTATATATCTCCAGCCCCTCATAACTCTTAAAGTGTCCCTCACTCAAGTAGCTGGATAACA